TCGGCACCCCTTGCTGCAGGGATCAAATATCATAAATACTGTAAAGGATAATGGCGGGAAGGGGGGGGGGGGCATAGCATACTGTATTTCTTTCATCACGATATTGGGGCATTTTTAGTTACCCTGCCTACAATTGATGTCAAAATTTTATTTTCGGTCCTGTGTGTGTGTGTGTGTGTGTGTGTGTGTGTGTGAGTGTGTGTGTTCCTAAACTATCTCAAAAACGGGTCTGCGGACCTGCACCAAACTTGAACAATTTGATCAATATTTGACAAGTCCACATGAAAAGCTTTTGGTACAAATCACACCAAAATTTATCAAGTTTTGCCATGGTAATAGAGTTTTGGGGGTTAAAGAAAACAGTGTTATGAAACAATATCCAACAGTTACCACATTAGTTTACAGTAACAGTCACTAGTTCGGTATTTACCCTGCTATGGTGACAGTTCGTCAGCAGATTTACATCAAATGGCAGCTGTTATTATTATTATTATTATTATTATTATTATTATTATTATTATTATTATTATTATTATTATTATTACTATTACTATTATTATTAGTAGTAGTAGTATGCTGTTTTCCTTTTTCTTCTTATTATTATCGTAATGAACGTGGAGATGATGATATAAAACACAAAAGAATGAAATTGGAATAAGGACGACGGGATAACTTAGTTGACGCCTCCTCTGGCACACACACACTCACACACTGGTGTTTGTGTCAACAATATCATAAACTCGTGTGTTATATTGATTTATTTGTGGCTTCTCGCAATGGTTCATTCACGTCCTTGGATCACTGCCAGCCAGGTGATTGTTACCCACAACTGTACCAGAAAGAATTCTCCATTCAGGGATGTATTCTTCCTCCGCCCACACCAGCGGCGGGCACTGGGCGGGTGGGCGTGTCACCCCCCCTCCCCCCTCTCCCAGTTCCGACCTTCTCTAAGAATAACGTATGGGTGTTTTTTCGGCTACATTTTCTGCTACATAAACCTGTCGTAGATTTTTCAGTTGTTGAAATACTAACTTCTGTATTATTGAACAGATTACTGGATACCTTTTCTAACTGCTGGTCTAAACATACATTTTCGTAATGTTAACATAAAATTTTAATTTAAACATCAACTATTATAGTAGTATTTATACAGCGTCTCTGTACATATTGGGTAAGCCATCAGGTTAGGTTTGCTTATTCCTAACAAAATCCAAATTTTTCTTTTTAGATAAAATAACTTTTAGTTCTCTAGTATTTATAACTGTAAGTATGCTAATTAGAGAGGACTAGTTGAAAAAGATAACAAAACACTATAAAACTTAATTTTAGTAAAATTATATATTATTGATTTATAATTATCATTACCTCAGCTTCTATTTCTTAATATGGGATTGTTGATGACTGGTAGTACTAAAATAAAAATAAGTGCTTATAGACGGACCTTGGTTGTTAAGGCGCAGTTATACATTATAGCATCAAGTTGTGGATTAAGTTTTTGATAATATCTACACTGTATACGGTAATGGGAATGTTTTAAAAATATCAACCGAAATACAGTATATAATGTACTGTGTTTTCTGTATATTATTCGTTTTTTTGCTATTTCTGGAAGGATTTAGTACTGTATACCGATGGTATATATTATGGAGATTTTTCTATTGCAAAAAGGTTAAAAATTATGGAGGCTGTATGATGTTCATATTACAATAGCCTGCTAATGGCTGCCGGAGCCGACTCGGGTCTCTCATATCCATAATCTGGACGGATGTCGGGCACTTTCAGCCGACTCTCATTGTATCGGAAGACGTGTTACGTTACGACTCACCACAAAATGCTAATGTCATAAGTCAGCCCGTAGTGAGTAGGCCTGTTGCCAGCAAGCTTGCACACTAGCATATTTGTGTTCGCTACTGTCTAGTTTGGTCTTGGGGAGCAGTAGACCAAACGTCTGGAAGATGTGGCTCAGGTTAACTAAAAAGGAAACAACAAACAACGGATTCCATAATCGTGGTGTTGTGAGTAACCAGACCCACGAGGAAGCACCAAAATACAGAAGCACTTGAGAATGTGTAGTCTTGACGCCTCACCTCAGCACAACACGGACTGGAACACATGGCTGGAGTTGGATCCAATCTGTTTTGGGTAAAAATAACTGCTAGCACATTTTCTTTATTTCTAGGCAGTCGTCCACTTTTGGGCCACAGTGCCCTTATGGGTCACCAGGCCTCTTGGACTCATTTTAACTGTTAAGCTGCTGTGGTAGTTAATTTCTCACATAAATGCCTCAATTCATTGATTGTAGTAATAAGCCTAGAGATTTTCTTTACAGTTAAATGTATGTATTAGTTGGAAAATAGAAATCCTGAAGTTACTCAGTAGGTCAGGTAGTATGCTTATTACAATATACTAAGACAATCTAATCTTGTTCCTAGACATTGGCTGTACTAGAATTTTGTATTAAACCTAGACAGCTTATTCCCTCAATATGAACACACTGGTTATTTTTTTTTTTCATCTCTTAACATGGGAAGTGTACATTACATCAGGGGACACAACAGCACACACAAAGTATACCATATCGCCAAAACTTTCGGGGATTTCTCAACATTTTTGTTGTTGAGTTGATTTACTGGCCGTCGACAGCTTGGATCATTACGTCCTTAGCACTTGTTAGTTTTATGTTCTTTTTCTCTTGATCTTCTTCTTTTGGACGTTCCACCATTGTTCTTCTAACTCACAAATATCTTGTTATTGCTCACCAACTTGATCTTCGTAATGGTCTATAAATTCTGTCAGGCTTAATGGTCCCTGTTTATTGTTATGTTTCTTTTCAGTATGTTCTTTTTCTACTTTTTTCATTTATTCTCTTCTCCGATTCTTGGTCTTGACTACAAGGAGGGCCTCCTTGTAGCTCATCTTCTAAATCTCTGATCGCACTTTGGCTCCCCTACACTCCTTCCTCCATTTGGGACACTCCCGGTCGGAGGAGTGTGGGCCGCCACAAACTGCACATTTCTTCGTCTTGCTGGGACATGTGGTGTGTTGGTGCCCGGTGGTCCCGCACTTTTCGCATATCTCCCGAGCCTGGCACTTCTTGGTTGGGTGTTCGTATCGTTGACACTTGTAGCACCTTGTAGGTCTGGCAACATACGGTTTAACTGGAATGGTTTCCCATCCCAGTAGTACTTCTTTTGGTAGAGTCTTGGGGTAGTCAGCCAGGGCCGCTATACTGGCCAACTTCTTAATAACGTGGAGCTGGTTACCGAATAGTTCGGCCAGCTCGTCTTGTTCCAGGTGTTCAATTTCGGCGTGGGAGATCACTCCCATCACCCGAGTGTCCTCTTCATGGATTTCGACCACGATTAGGACGTCGTTGACGTCCACCACTTGTTTGGCCTGTCCCCATTCAGAGAAGGTGACTCACCGATCTGCCTACGGCCTTCGTAACCCCCTTGATCCCTGAGGGGTCGAAAACTTCCTCAGGACAAGGTTTAATTTCTTGGGGGAGGTGGGCTCGACCGGGTACAGCCAAACCACCTTAGCTCGGTCCCGTGACAGTGTCACGGCCACATGGTACCTCGGGAGCACAAAGGTGTCTTCTTTCGCCGAGGTGCAGGTCCAGGATGTGTTGTCAACAAAGCGCGGCCAGGAAGGGACCTCAATTGCCGGTGTTGCCAACTTGCCATCTGCTGGCGGATTTTTACCGCTATAAAGGCCATTCTCGAGTTACATCTGGCTAATTAGATTTGTTTGGCCAGTCGCACATCAGAAGTTGAAGGTATATTGCAATAATACATTTTTTATGGCTGGAATCTTCATTTTATTTAACAAAAAATCTCTCATATATCTCCTATATACAAAAATATACATAATTAAATAAGGATGAAGAAGTCACGGGTGTCGAGGGGAGGAGTGGGGGGTTGACGCACACACTGCTCTACGTCATCACCCACAGTAGGTAAGGGAAGACATACACACACTCACGGTTGTTTCACTTCTATACTACCCAAGAACTATCTTTTGGCTTTTGTGTACACCGTAAATAAATTGGATTTTGTACAATATTTCATACATACATACAAACATACATACTGTACATACATACAAACTACAAAAGGGTTTAAAAACATGGAGGTTCTCTGCAAGAGTGTTACTAAGAAGTGTTACTGTATGTTACCATATGTTGCTTTATGATACTGTATGTTGCTGTATGATACTGTATGTTGCTGTATGATACTGTATGTTGCTGTATGATACTGTATGTTGCTGTATGATACTGTATATTGCTGTATGTTACATAAACATCTGGATACAGCTGTTTTGTGTTTACTTTCTGCCATCTTCACCTTCGTTGAAATTATTTTATAACAGGTATGGGTGGTACCAAGACTCACAGCTCATAATGACAAGTGGAGATAATACCAGAGCTCTTGATGGCAGGGTGAGGATGGTACAAAGGCATGATGACAGATGAGGGCAATACCAATGGTGACAGTTCAGGGTAGTACCAGTGATGACAGGTGTATGTGTGTGTGTGTGTGTGTGTGTGTGGTGAGGCAGTGTCTGGAATGTAACGTGAGGGCCGGGGGACGCCTTCTGGCTGACCTCCGGAATCATCATCAGTAAGATGTTCGGTGGACAGGTGGCGGTGAACCACTTCTGTACGACGTCTGTTTTCAAGACCCCTCAAAAAAGTTTACTAGTTAGCTGTGAAAGACAAAAAACTCTCCTTTCGGTTTTGAAATTGTCGACGTGAACACAGCCAACTGCCCACCAGAGTCTCACTGCGTCATGGGAAAGTGAATTGTTCAAGTAAATCAAGATAATAATAATATTAATAATAAAACAGAACCCAAAAGATACAACAGATCACAGATAAATATGGGATGTGGAGTCCCTTAACTAACTTGTCAGAAGCAAGTATTGTAGAACACAAGTGAGAAATAGCCCTGAATGATCGACACATAGACAAGATATTATAATTATTATTTTTTTTTTAATTTTTTCGTATACATCCAGTAAGCTTTTTATTGTCACTTTGTTTAACAGGAGGCTACAACATGTCCACACACAGTGATGCTTGGGCCCCGGGGTGTATTGGTAGGCCCTTCTGGTCTCCCTCCACCATTTGAGCGTTCGCCGCCCTACACCTCCTCCTTAGCACCTTCTCACATTAACCACACTAGACAGGGAAATGAAGATTTTAAAAAGGCGGTGACTAGAAGTTATAAATAAGTCTGGATTAAAAAAAAAGTCTATAGATTACTTTTATGGTGTCGTGGTGCTATGGCGTTGTATTGTGGTGTGCGAGAGTGCGGTGCAGGTATTGCGGTGTGGGTCAAGTCATACAGCTGGAGGGACACCAGGCCCGTACAATAACTCCGGTAAGAGTGACACAGCAGACAGGAACTACAATAATTACTTCAGCTTTACAATATACTCTGACTAGCACATCGACGTCAACTAAAAATAAATGCATTATATTTATCTTCATCATCGTCAAGACATAAACATTGATACGTTATATATATATATAGCCGTCTAACTATCATCGAGCATAATAGTTAGACTTAGTCACAGATAGGACCTACAGTAGTCAGGTAGAGGCGCTCCCAGCAATCATCACCTTCTAATGAGTCAAGTGCAAGTTTTGTTTACATCTTAAAATAAGGTCATTAATAAGCTCAATTGTACTGAGGATTTGGGTGAATGTTAAATATTTCACCAAAACTATGAGAATAAACTTTGTCAATGATAAAAGAGTGTTGACTGTGAGTGACTCAGGCCAGGTGGGGTCATGTGTCTCCCCGGGCCTGGTCACCTCGACATGACCCTGACATAGACCTGCAAGACACCCGGGTAGGTCCGCTCGACACAAACCCGCAAAAGTCCTTCCATAAGAGGTTTTGGTCTTCTCGACAAAACCCTGAGACTGTCCCTAACTGAATGTGTACTGGAAATATGGCATTATAATAAAAATTATGCACAGCTGCTAAGCGTTGCAAAAATATAAAATAAAGAGGACTCTGCAACTCGCCCAAATTAGGTAACAAACCAAATTTGGGAGTCAAAAAACCCCAGTCCAGGCCGCCACTTGCGTACACCATAGTTTGAGGACCACTTGCGTTGACTCTCGGTCAACTGAACAATTAAAACTAGGTGGCAGGTACATTACCACCCCACAGTACGCTTATAATTTTAGGTGTACCAACACTCACAAATGACGACCAATGATCGCAGGGCACAACAGGGCGGTGTAACGTCGCTTAATCAGGTACAGTAGCGGGAGGCGGAGGAGGTACTTTAGTGTCTTCACATGGAGGCCTCCCTCGCGCCTCGCTCTCTTCAACACATTCCACCGCTAAAACCAGGACCAGCTGAGTCGCTGGAGCAGTTCGGATACTGGGCCTACAGTGGCGCCCTGGTCTACTACTAGTGATGGCTGAGGCGCCGGCATGACGGGACGCTGACTCAACGCCCTTATATGCACCAGGTCTACGAGATGCCGATGCTGAGCCCCTACAATAGCTTAGGCGCTCAAAAGACATGGCAGATACAGCTGCAGCAGCTCTGGAAGATGCACATGGAGGTGTATATGATCGGACAAACGAACATCATTGACAGTTCACATGCAGTAGCCGCTATAAGTACGTATGGAATCCTCGGTGTAAGTTTTGCCGGGGATGACACCGGGGTCCATGTGGTGGCGGGGGCAGCGGTGGCCGTGGGGACACTGGCACAATGTGTTCGTGTTCACTTCCTCGAACTGCGGTCGCTTTTTTACCGTGAAGAGACGGCACGGCTCCTTCCGCTGACATCGAAGCCGCTGTGGAGGAGAATCACGTTATTTAGTATGATAAAAAATCTTCTATATTGTTTACTGCAAAAAAGAAAGTGGCAGGTAGCGCGAGGTTGTAGAGTTCACCTTGACGCTAATGTGAGACGTGCGTGACGGCCGACACACACTGCCCATCAACACTTCCGTTGCTCTTATCTACAGGAACATTGTGTCTACTAGATAATCGCGTGCCACAAAATTACCTTTATTATCCAACAATGCAGTTGTGTATGTCAACTGAAGCGACTACAAAACCCGGAGCATTGGGTATATCAATGTCTTAAATGCTTCCGTGAAAACTAATCCACTTTAGACAAGTTATGTAAATAAATGAACAAAATGTCTTGGAACTTACACTCTGAGGTGAACAGGCGAAACTGTACTGGAAGCCGATGCCCTGGTCGGTCTGGTAGGCCTGCCGCTTGATAATGTATGCCACGGAGTTCTTGGGGCAGACACAGTGCGTGATCTGCTGCGTCACGTTGTCCGGGTACGTGATGAACGTCCACGTCACGTCACGAAAGTAGCGACACTTGGGCAGTTTCTTGATGGGTTCACACAACTGAAAACACCAAGACGGAGATTACATGGGGAGCTCGTTCACTCATCCTTCACTCTTTAAACCCACCTCAAGATTACATTCACTCATTCCTCACTCTTAATACCGACCTCATTTACACACTCTCTTCAGCTGATGAAAGAACCCACTTCGTAAGACCCTGAGTTGTAAAGTGTGGTGAACAGTACACTAAATGATGAAAACAGCCTATAGTATCCTGCCATCTAATGGTCTGTTTTAAAGCTCAACTCAAGAACTGTTTTCCTTCCATCGTCTTACTGTACATACGACAGTCTGCCTCTAAGATAAACCGCACTGAGTGATGGCACAATAGACCAGCGCCATACACAAATAACAGTGATAACAAAGAGGTCACCTGAGATCTACCTTGAACTGCCTGGTCTTGTCGGTGATAGTGTGGCCATCGGAGGGGTTGAGGGTGGCGCTGCAGGTGCGTCCTCCCGGGCACCGACACTGACGCTCTACCCGCGGCGAATCGTACGTGTCCACCTTGTTACACACCGACCAGGGCGAGCACACTGGCAGCTCTTTCTCCGTCTTCTGTCGAAACAGCCAACACTTTAGTACACTCAGTCTACAACACTTAGTACACACAGCCTACACTTCCTACTCTTATTTATTTTACACTCATAAATATACTACTATTACTACTACTATTTATTATTATCATCATCGTTCGTATGTTTTTTTTTTGTCTCGGGGGTCATTTAACATCGCACAGGAAGAACCACAAGTGTTATTGTTCATATTTAGCCACAACACCGCTGTCAGGTTTGCCAAGATCGGGTTTGAATTTAAGGGTTAGTGACCTACAACAACGTCTGTTTCTTTGTGTCTACCAGCGACCTTATGCACCTACAGCACAGTGTCCAGCCCGGGCGATTATCTTCCGTGGCCACTTAATTATTACTGGACTTTTACTATTATTATTATTATTATTATTATTATTATTATTATTATATTATTATTATTATTATTATTAAGAGCAAACATACATTTAAAATAACAACATACATGTATACATCATTAAAAGAAACAATGTAAAATATATAATAACTAAACCTTGATAACACCAGATAACAAGGACGTTGATGAAGATGATAACAAGCCTAATAATAACAAACCGAGGTAAAGAAGGATGATAATAGTAATAACTGGTGATTAATGAACACGAGAACAATAATAGCCTGGAAGATTAAGAAGATAATTAATGACACTAACAATGAATATTACCATCATAGTAACGGTGTACTGTAATTATGTCACTAATAATATAATTCCCATGGTAATACTGGTACAGGTGTAGTATAGGTGTATGTGCAGGTGTAGATACTGGTGACCTAACTTAACCATACTTAACCTTACCTAACCAAACCCCTCAATTTAACGTTTTGGGTGTGCAATCATCACGTGAAATAAATAACATGGGGGTGTCTAATCTTCACGTGGCCTGTAAGTTTTCAGAAATACCTTACGTCTCTCTCAGAATTATCGAGGTCAGGAGACAAGTTACTGTAGGTCATGGATGCCGGACACCTCGACTTGAGCGATTCACATAACGCGAATTCATTTGGGAGTATAAACTATAATAATGGTGTATTCTAAATGACGTTGGGAATTCGGTACAGGTGAAGATACAGGTATGATAATATAACTAGTGGTAAAGTAATAATAATTAATAGTGATAATCTAAAAGTCAGTATTCAGGTGGTAGGGGGGGGGGGAGGGGAGGGCGCTACGGCTCGACACGGCTCGGCGTTACAATTATTGCTACACGGACCCATCACGGTGCTCAGTGACGGGTGATGGCCTTGGGGTCGTGCCTCCTTCTCCCCCCCCCCTCTCCTTACCCCCTCACACACACACACAGCCCCCATCACCCCATTACGTAGGGATGTCTTCAGGAACACCTCACAATGTACAGAGAGAGAGTTGGTAGTACTGGAGGCAATGGTCAGTGTTGTGTTGGTAGAAGCAGTCACTCCTGATGACCCCACGCTGACGATGGAAATGTGGTGGTGGTGAGAGTGATGGTGGTGAGAGTGATGGTGGTTGTAGTAGTGAGGGTGGTGGTGGTGGTGAGGATCGTGGTGGTAATGAGGGTAATGGTGGTAGAGAGGGTAATGGTGGTAGAGAGGATGGTGGTGGTAATGAGGAGACGTGATGGTGGTGGTAGTAGTAGTGAGGGTGATGGTGGTAGTGAGGATAGTGATGTTAATGAGGGTGATTTATTTTTTGGTGGTAAGGGTGATGGTGGTAGTGGTGGTGGTGAGGGTGTTAGTAGTGATAGTGATGACTGAGGATAGTAGTGGTGGTGCTGGCACGCGGTAATGGTGGTGGTAATGGTGATAATGACGAGTGGTAGGAGGACGGAGGCTGACACGATTTCTCCGTAGAGAGGATGCCCCCGGGGCCGGAAGCTGAGATGAGGTTTGTGTTGGGAGGAGGAGGAGGAGGAGGGATGCTGTCAGCCAGGTGGTGAGTCCTGCCCTCTGTACTGCCCCCCCCCCCTCTCTCTCTCGTAGAATGATTCAGAGGTGAGGTAACACACACATATAGCTGACACTCCAAGACGATATCACAGTACCAGCAACACTCACATTCGCTCCAACACCATCACGCCAAAATCAGCCAGTGACAATCCCCGTTAACCACCTAACTTCAATTAATATACAAACTGCCTCTCTTAATAAACTCGCAAATCTACGATAACAATATCAGCAGTCAGTTTTATTGTCCCCTATCGTCTAGGAGGTGACAGGAATGATACGATACAAAGATCAAGATTCCCAAAGACTCGTACGTTTATTTTGTTCTCCAGTAAGTGGGTGAGGAGAGCATCGGGTTATGGTACAGCCTCAAGTGACATTTCGACTCCAATATAACCTCTGTATTTATAGTTACAGTGAGACAATTACTTGCATTGCCTTACGGGTAAATTATATATTGAACTTACCAACCCTTTGTTAGTGTGGGTGCAGGTGATCACAGGGGGGGGGGGAGGGAACACCAGCCAACAGGTAGATACTGTACTGTAGGTTCTTCTGCCTGTGTTTGAGCCTCACCATCAGTAACTCTGCCGTACTTCCACCCGCCCATCCCGCCTTATTTTCCCATTAAAATGGTTGATTTCCTCTCATTTGGTGATGGCGGGGTTAAGTGTCACGACCCCCTGACCCCCACGACCCCCCTCCCTGACCCCTGATTCCCGTGGTCCCCTCTCCTTCTGCCTCTTCCCTGACACCTCCTCCCCCCTCCTTACTCCTCACGTAGCCTACGCCGCCTACATTACCTCCTGTAGCCTACATCACCTGCACCTACAGTATATCACCTACTACTACACCCCGCAAGTACACCTTTACACTACCCTGATACACCCATACTATCTTGTCTCACTATTACTATTATGATAAACCTACTGTACATTACCATGATATTCAGGCTACCATTATACAGATATAACACCATTATACACCATAACTACCATGATATTGTCATACTGCCTTGCGTTACTATTAATCTTTATGATTTTTCCACGCTACCATGATAAACCCACAGTATCATGCCACATTATTTCTACCATGATGCACCCACACTACCATGATACATCCACACAACCATGATAGACCCACACTACCATGATGCACCCACACTACCATGCACCCACACTACCATGATACATCCACACTACCATGATAGACCCACACTACCATGATGCACCCACACTACCATGATACACCCACACACTACCATGATAGATCCACAGTACCATGATAGACCCACTACCATGATACACCCACACTACCATGATAGACCCACACTACCATGATATGACCACACACTACCATGATACACCCACACTACCATGATACACCCACACTACCATGATACACCCACACTACCATGATAGACCCACACTACCATGATACACCCACACTACCATGATACACCCACACTACCATGATACACCCACACTACCATGATAGACCCACACTACCATGAAACAAAGTGAAACCGAATTAATGGAAGGTGTTCGTGAACAAGGCCTCTCCTCCCCCCTCCCCTTCCCCCACACAATTGCCTTCCTTCACCCCCAGTCCCATCACCTCCCCCTTCACACTTCTCACACACAGGATGGAGTGTGTTTCCTTCTCCCACTCTTCTCCTCTAACCACACCTCTCTTCTACTACCCCTTCTCCATCTCCCATTTCCTCATTTTCCTCTTCTCCGACTTCCCCTTCCTTCACTTTCCTCTTCTCCCCTTCCCCTCCCCCCTTACTCTTCTCTACTACCCCTTCTCCAGCACCTCCCCTCACCCCCTCGTGGGAAAAAAGCTCCGTTGCGTAGGTGATCGTCTTGCCCGCCCGTTCATTCATTCATTCAATGGTCGTGACCCGGACGAACCTGAGGCTTGAACTTGACCTCTGACTTCCCCAACCCGCCATCCTGGTGTGTAAGGAGGAGGAGGAGGAGGGGGGCGGTAGGAGGGGAGCGGTAGGAGAGGGGTGAGAGGGAGGGGGGGAGGTAACTCAGCCTGCTGTCAGTGATACACAACCTTGAGCACACTTTTTGGTAGGTGAGTGTGTGGTGTGTGGTGGGTGAGTGTGTGGTGGTGCGTGTGTGATGGGTGAGTGTGGTGGTGGAGATGGGTGAGTGTGGTGGTGGAGATGATAAGTGTGTGGTGGAGATGGGCGAGTGTGGTGGTTGGGTGAGTGTGTGGCAGTGGGGTGTGTGGTGGAGATGGAGTGAGTGTGGTGGTGGTGGGTGAGTGTGTGTGGAGTGAGGTGTGGTGAAGGGAGGTGAGTGTGTGGTGGAGATAGGTGGTGTGTAGTGGAGATGGGTGGGTGTGTGGTGGAGGTGGGTGTGTGCTGGATATAGGTGAGTGTGTGTGATGTGGTAGGTGTGTGTGTTGGAGATAGGTGAGTGTGTGGTGGAGGTGGGTGTGTGTTGAGAAAGGTGAGTGTGTGATGGAGGTGGATGGGTGTGTTGGAGGTGGTGGGTGGTGTGAGTTGGAGGTGGGTGAGTGTATGGTGGAGATAGGTGAGTATGTGTTGGAGATAGGCGAGTGTGGCGGAAGTAGGTGAGTGTGTGTTGGAGGTGGATGAGTGTGGCGGAGGTTAGGTGAGTGTGTTGAGGATAGGTGGAGGTGGGTGTGTGTGTTGGAGATAGTTGAGTGTGTGTGTGGAGGTAGGTGAGGGGTGTGGTGGTGGAGGTGGTGTGGTGGGTGAGTGTGGTGGAGGTAGGTGAGTGTGTGTGGTGGAGGTGGGTGGTGTGGTGGAGGTGGTAGTGGTGTGGTGTGTGGTGGAGGTAGGTGAGTGTGTGGTGGGAGGTAGGTGAGGTGGTGGTGGTGGGTGTGTGAGGTGGAGGTGGGGTGTGTGGCGGAGGTAAGTGGGTGGTGGTGGAGGTGGGTGGAGTGTGGTGGAGGTAGGTGGAGTGTGTGGTGGAGGTGGGTGTGTGGCGGAGGTGGGTGAGTGTGTGGTGAGGTGGGTGGGTGTGGTGTGGGTGGTGTGTGAAGTGAGGCAGGTGGGGTGTGTGT